TACTCCTTTTCTTTTTTTGAGAATTTTATCTTTGAAATCGATTGGTCTTGATGTTTCTGGCATGCCTTGTCCTACAATGACATTAATGTTAATAGTAGTATTTACAGCTGGTATCTAAGATTTAGTTATTCCTTTAGGTTAATAAATACGTCTGCCAACTGATTTACTATATTTTGCAAAAAAAATTTCTTTTGAACTTTAAGTTCATATTGATTTGTACGAAGATCAAAACTAGATAATGATAATTCATTTTATAAAATTTTTTTACAGCTGTTTATTTTTCTCCCCCTAATGTTAGAAAAATTATTTTATCAAAATGACAATTGACAAACTTTGTCAGGAATAAACCTCCTATTGATAATCCTAAATATTTAATTATAAATAGAGATTTGTATTCAACATATATTCATAACCTCCTTTGAGGACCCATCTTTGTGCGTTGTGGTGGAATAATTAAAACATATACCACACATTTAAAAATTCTTATATGAAAAATATTTGGTTCCTAACCATAAACCAATTATATATAGAGATTTATAATAACTCATTTGGTGTGATGCATACAAATGCTGCTGCATCCAAAATGGCATGCCCCTAAGTAGACACTGGGAGTTTGAATTTCATAAGCTTACAATCAGTTGAAAGTGTTTAATAAATAATTCTGCTAGACCATTTTATGTACAAACATAAGCAATAGACTATTCATTAGTTATTTCTACTAATATGCAATATTAAAGGCTTGAGATGTAAATCTACTAGCATTGTCAAGATAAATAATTTTAATTATATAACTAAGAAAATGTGCTTGCAAATGAATGGTTGCAAATGCCAAATTGTAAGCTGATAATAAGCACACTTGTGACCATTTAGTCGATATATTGATTAAAACGGTAAAATATCTAAATGGTTCACATTATGGATGGATGAATCCACATATAATCTTGAATATTATTAAAAAATATAAAAAAATTTAGTTTTAACTTTACCTGGTGATAACCTTATAATTTATTTACCTTTAAAGCAAGCAGCACATAAATTCATTAGATTAAAAAATCTTTTAGTTTTTCAATAAATGAGAAATTTTTAATCATTGTTTGCATCATTGTTGATCTGAAATGGTCCAACCGATCATGACAAATACTAAAATCATTAGTAAACTTCTTGTTTACTGTAGATTTCAATTATTCTAATATTTGTAAAGTTTAATTTTGAGAACAGAATAAGTAATTTTTTTTAACACACACTTTCTACTTGAGATAATAGATGTAATATAGAGGTATTAAGTGTCTCTTTCATTTATTGTCTCAATATGATATCTATTCAGACGAATATTTTAAAACTTAATAAATTTCTTTGAGACTTAATAGAAAATAATACATCTTCTATTATAAATTTTATTCCTTAAGGTAGTAAAATATTAGCTCTTCTAGAGCCTTCAATAATCTTGAATTACAAGATATTGAATTGACATTGTTTTTTTCATTGTCAAGTAGGAAAAATATTTATTGTCGTTAAATAAAGTGTGTGTTATAGTAATGTATGCTAGACATATATTTACATTATTGATCTTAGATCTAACAAGATGAATATCTATATTTTTTTAATAAAATAAAATATATACAATAAGAAATTTATAAGTTAATATAAAAGATTATAAAATATAGAATTAAAACACATAATACGAACATATCATTTAAATACTATGAAAACATATTAAAACATCTTCATAATATAGTTATACTAAATATACTAATTACTATTAAATTCATTCTCAAATATCTTTATTACCAATTGAATGATCAATTCCTTTTTCAGAACAAAAAAATCAATAACAAGTATTTCTATTACTAATTATGTAATCAATTCCTCTTTCGGGGTGGACAAATATCTTGATGTGCTATATCAACTTAGCCATGATTAAAATTATCATAAGATGTTTTAATTTTCAGTGATACTTGATAAAATTTAAGACTTACAATAAGTACGCAATCAATGATATTTCATGCCACATCAATAATAATACGTTTTCTATATTCATTTTATTCTTTTCATTATTTATCCACTTATAGTGGGTTACAGGTATTCATCTACTTCTTGATGAGTTATCCACTTCTGGTGGATTATTCATTTTTTAACGAGTTAAGGTATCCATCCACTTTTAATAGTAAAATTATCTATCAACTTCTAGTGGTAAAATTATTCTTAAATTCAGATGATAAAATTATGCATCCAATTCTGGGGGTAAAATAATAATTAAAATAGTGATAGTATAAATTATTATGGTCATCATAATTAAATGATGTTACATTCACTTCAAGGAATGGATGAAATCGTGATTATGATCATAATTATTAAATGATATTTCATTCACTTTAGGGATTGGACAGATTTATAATTTTTTATTAGTAGCTCGTTTGTCAAATTTACTTTAGAGAATGAAAATTTATAATTTTTATTAATAGCTCATTTATCACATTCATTTCAGAGAATTGATATTTATGAATTTTCATTAATAGCTATATAATAACAAATTTACTTTTCAATCAAGGGATAAAATATATACTACAGATAGTAAAATTCATATTAAGGTTGATTTTTAAGAAATAAAAATACTAAAATGATATCAATTCACTTAGTTGATTTTTTAAAACTATAAATCAAAACACAATCATTGAAATCCTTTTAAAGCTTGAAGACAATGAAAACATAATAATTCTAAAACTTGAGAAATCAGATAATTGTGCTGATAACGTGTTATGAAATAAATCTTAAAAGAACAACTATAAGAGATGAGAAAGTATTTAGAGGAAGTAAGAATATTTTATTCAAGTGTATATTTATAAATAAAGTGTAAGGATATATTTATAAACTGATAACCTCTTATTTAAATTGAATTTACAAGATGAATATAATACTTAAGAATTAGATCGATTAAATTTTAATCTAATCTAATTTATATCAATTCTAAATATAAATAATATGAATAAATATTTATAAAAATATTCATAATAATTTAAATATTATAAACATATCTTTCTTTATTTAACTTCAATGGAATATATTACATGATAAAAAGACTATTAGTATAAAGGAATAATTCAACAATAATTGATCACTTCTATTTTATTACTATAATTTATTAATGTCGTCTAAAAACTAAACTCCGCAAGTATAATTTATCCCGATCTATAAAATCATTCCTGGACCAAAAAAAGAAAGGAATAAAAACAAAAACTCAATTCTTGGCTTTTTCGATTAATCATAGCATGACATCCACATCAAACACCTTAAAAAAATAATTAAGCCGCAATTTATGACATCTTACAAATAGTTAAACAAAAGTACTAATTCAGCTGTTGTTGAGTATGCGCGCTGTTTCGCGTTGAGCCTAACATCTTGGAATTTGGAAATGTTGGGAGTTGTCCAGTCAGGCTGTCTCTTTCCGTTATTGTTTCTTAACTTGAGCTGGCTTGACTACTCCAACAACGTGACAACGTTGAATGACTCCCCTGGTCTCCAGGCTCGGAGGGTAATGTAACAATGGGGCTAGGAATTTTCAAAAGTTTTTATTATATATATATTAATAATTTTTAAAAAATTTTATTTATTATATATTTTTAATAATTTTCTCAAAATAACATTTTTATTTTAATATTAATATAATTTAAAAAATAATAAAACAACCTCATAAATCTTATTTAGCTTTTCCCTAATTTAAATTGTTTCACAATTATTTCTCCTTCTTTCTTTTTATTTTTATTTTTATTTTTTTATAACTCATCAATAAAATACATTTCATTATTCAAAATAAATTTATGAGTTTCTGAACTTGAACAAAAGTGATGAAAACCACTCACCATCATTAGGTAAAATTAAGAGAAAATAATTTTTTATATTTTATTTATATTATTTAACTATTTAATAATTATGTAAAATCTTATCTATAGTATTTAATTATTTATACTTTATATAATATAGTTTTATATTTAATATTTTAAATTTAAATAAAAATAAAATAAAAATATTAGATATTGGCTACCCATTGATTAGGATCTTATTTTAGGTTTTTTTTTTTCTATGTTAGTGGTGTGATGTGCTTGTTCTTCATTTTGTTGTTGAGCGTTTTTGTTTTCTTTGAGCAACTATCAAGTTTTTAAAGTAGTTTTTTTGTATAATTGTATAAGTTTTCAAGTAGTTTATGAATTTTTTATCAATCAAAAGTTTAATAAAAACACTTTTCAAAAAAAAAATTCAGATTTGATTAAAATTTGAATAAATTTTAAATAATTTTTTTACATTTGAACTATTAAACCTCAATACTTCAAATTATGAAAAAAAATAATATGAATCAAAATATTTTAAGTTCAAATTTGAAAAAACAGGCACTTTTCAAATAAAATTCGATATTTATGAAATTATTTTTAAATTTTTATTTTTTAATTTATATATTATATAAAATTATTATTTATTATAAATTTTTTTAATTATTTATTAAATTTAATTTATTAATTTAAAAAATTTTAATTTTTATATTTTTAATTTTTCAATAAAAATTAACTAATTTCGTTCCTGTTAGCCTCCAACTCTGGATAGCAACTAATTGCTACTCGGGTAGGTTGCAGCTTACAACTCGAGCTGGAAATCCAGTGAAAGAATTTGGGCAACGAAGTCGGTTTAAATTTAACCAACTTCTACGTACTAAATAGATATAATACAAAATGGATCGTTATCAGTGGTATTTTTTTTTTCCCTTCATTTGTTTGACACTAGTGAATTATTAGAATTAATTAATTCATAATATGTTAGTGCTCTTGCAAGGATGCTTAAGAGGGTAACTTTCTAAAAGATTGAAGGAAAAGGAAAGAAAATAATAGATTATAAAATTCAACTTTCAAAAAGATTGAAGGACAAAGAAAGAAAATAAAAGATTGAATAAATGCGATTGTCGGAGTGGACGTGGAAATCATACAAGACAAGACAAAACAAGATTTCTTGCACGGCTTTAAAAGGAGGCTCCAACTCGTTAAACCGAACCTGTGATCTACATTTCTCCTTCAGACATCTGGAAAGATGTGCTTTCCAAACCCATCTAATGCAAAACCTGGTTTGATGGAAAGCCGTTGACTTCACATGCAAGGATGGGCCTGTTCAATTATTCATTACTGTGAGTCCAAACTTTTTCTCCAGTACTTTGTATGAACATGCTTTGCATCTGAATACTTTGAATTCAATAGAGGTTGTGGATTAGAAGTTCACTAAAATGGCCATGACTTAGCGACAAAGGAGATAGTTGAATCGTAGACTCTGTTACTTCTTTCCAAAATTTTTTGGGTGCTTGCTGTTTTGAGTTTTACTGAGTTTTCTGACTTCTTTTGAAATTTGCCTTGAATTAATTACAGTGTCTCGAGGACATAAATCTTTTACTTCGAAAACAATGTTCTGTTGGATCATACTGCTAAGCAGCTCTGCGCAGTTGTTTTGGCCGGGAAACTGATGGCATGAACTGGACTGCTTGTACTGGATAAGATTTCGAAGGTTTGGAATTCTCTAGTTTTTTAATTGATCAGAAACAATGGCCATGGCTTCTTCTGTTAAAGTGGTTCTAGGCTCAATTGCCTTTGCAATGTTCTGGGTATTGGCAGTTTTCCCTGCTGTCCCCTTTCTACCAGTTGGGAGGACTGCAGGGTCCTTACTGGGGGCCATGCTTATGGTTTTGTTCAGAGTCATAACCCCAGATCAAGCATATGATGCAATTGATCTCCCAATCCTTGGCCTTTTATTTGGTACTATGGTTGTCAGTGTCTATCTTGAAAGAGCAGATATGTTCAAATATTTAGGTAAGTTGCTTGCATGGAAAAGTAAGGGTGCCAAGGACTTACTTTGCAGAATTTGCCTGATTTCTGCCCTTTCAAGTGCTCTTTTCACCAATGATACCTCATGTGTGGTTTTGACCGAATTTGTGTTGAAAATTGCAAGACAACATAATCTACCCCCTCATCCATTCCTGCTTGCTCTTGCCTCAAGTGCCAATATAGGGTCTTCAGCAACTCCAATTGGGAATCCTCAAAACCTCGTTATAGCAGTTCAGAGTAAAATTTCTTTTGGGGATTTTCTTATTGGAATTCTACCTGCAATGCTGGTAGGAGTCTTAGTGAATGCTTTACTTCTCCTGTGCATGTATTGGAGATTGTTATCTTTTCAGAAGGATGAAGAAGATCCAAGTGGAGCGGCTGTAGCTGAAGCGGATGTGACTTCTCATCGGTTTTCACCAGCAACCATGTCACATTTTTCTTCATCGAACTCTCAAGAATGGAACTCAACATTGGACCCTATGAATGTGATAAGGTCTCCCAACTCAATTGGTAGCACAGCTCATGTTGACAACCTCAGAAGCCGAGTAAATTCAGCTGATCAGAATGAAATCCAGAGGGTACCTAGTGGTGCAACTGATTCTGCAAGGAATTCAAATGCATCAAAGGAGGGGACGATGGAAGGCCACTCCCATGGAAAGGAGGAACCTGTGGCTTCAAAGATGATTGCATTGACGGACTCCCATGGAAAGGAGGAACCTGTGGCTTCAAAGATGATTGCATTGACGGATAGCTTGCCAGACGTATGTTCTGTGCAATCTTTAGGAGAAAAGGAAAGCTTACCCAGAAGGTGGAAAAGGAGTTTTTGGAGATTCAGTGTCTACTTTGTTACCATAGGGATGCTGATTTCTCTGCTTATGGGCCTTAATATGTCCTGGACTGCAATTACCGCAGCACTTGCTCTTATAGTTCTTGACTTTCAGGATGCTCGGCCTTGCCTAGAAAAGGTTTTTGAAAAATAAAATCAGATTGGAAATAGAAAAAGAAAAGCATTATTAGTTTCATAAGAACTTAAATGTTATAGTTGTTCTTTTTTTGGCCAGATATAGTTAATTAATTAAGCTCAATTACTTTCTGTGACCAGGTGTCCTATTCGCTTTTAATTTTCTTCTGCGGAATGTTTATCACAGTCGAGGGCTTCAACAAAAGTGGAATCCCAAGCACTCTTTGGGACTTGATGGAACCCTATGCAAAGATCAATCGTGTTTCAGGGATAGCAATTCTAGCCATTGTCATACTTGTCCTCTCCAATTTGGCCTCAAATGTACCGACCGGTATGTTGATGTTTCTCTCCTATGAACATGCATCAGATAACACTAGCATCTTTAAAGTAGAGATCTTTGTTTCTTCGTTTCTATTCTCCTAAAACAGTAATCAGTTTTGCAACCACCTTTTATGTACAAGGGCACATAACTTTCTAGTTGCTTAGCACCAACATGTTTGATACTTTTCAGTTCTGTTGCTTGGAGGGCGTGTGGCAGCATCAGCTGCTGCAATTTCTGCATCTGATGAGAAGAAAGCATGGCTTATTTTAGCCTGGGTCAGCACTGTGGCTGGGAACCTTTCACTACTGGGATCAGCTGCTAACTTGATAGTGTGTGAGCAAGCTCGTCGTGCTCCAAACCTTGGATACACTTTGTCCTTCTGGAAACACCTTATATTTGGACTTCCCTCAACGCTTATAGTTACTGCTATCGGTTTGATACTCTTTAGATGATTAAATAAATGTCCTTTACAAGAGGCTTATAAGAAAAAACACAAAGAAGAAAAGGATACGTGGCACTCATCTTATAGAGAAGATCAAGAGCTGCGAGGTTTCACCAATTAGGCATGGCGGCAAATGTTTGTTTCAAAGGGACTGGGTTTGGTTTATGTTAAATAAAATAATGCTATTAGTTTTGAAGTGTTGCACGTGTCATGGCTTTCTTCTAGCCAGAAAGCAAAAAAATAAAAATAAAAAAGTCACCATGTTCTCCAACTTGCCAGCTAATGCTAGATTCTGCCCAAGAATTGATCATGATCAAATTTCTTTTCCCCTTTTAGCCATGAATATATATCTTGTTAAATAAACACTGCCCTTCAAATTCCATGTTCACGCTGACACAAATTGAGCGTGCTTTGCTCAATGCCAATTTTACAGTTTTCCTCAAGTTCTGTGATTATCGATTAGCATTGTTAAGTCTTGGGCCCACAATTTCGAACGACGAACTGCAATCTTGAGCCCTTCTTCTTTGAGTCCAGAGACTAATAGGCAGGAAGCCCAACCCTGGTTTGAATGGTAAAATTATTTTTAGATTATGTTAGTCACAGGTTCAGGTAAGATTTGAATAGTAATTTTAAAATATTTATTATTTAAATTTAATTATAAATAATTAATTTTAATTTTAAATTAATTTTTATAATTAATGTAATGCTGATTAAAATTCATCTATTATTCTAAATACTATTTTAAAATTTAATTTAATTTTTTATAAAATTAATTTTTAATAATAATATACATAAGAATTGATTATAAATTTATAAAGTTTGAGTAGTCTATCAAATAATAAAATTCAAGATAAAATATCTAAAAAATAATCAATACTCTACCTATTAATATCTCTAACAATAATTTATTTGACCAAATTTAGTACTAACGTTTCTTTCACGATATAGTGATAACATGGACTTCATTTATCAAGGTCCATCCAATAGTTTAATTTGTCTTATCTTTTTTAATCATGAATTATTGAATTTAACTCTCTGCTTTTTTTCTTTTTTTTGTCTTTGGTAGCTCTCTTTGTAAATAAGAACAAAAAGAATAGCACTAGTAAATGGTATTGCTAGGGTGACCCAGGGGAATATAGTAGTATATAATATTCAAACCCAAGACAGGATGAGTGAGTGATCCTTATCTTATTCTTAAAGCTAACCCGTCAAATGTTTTTATTTCCAGACAAGGTACTAATGTATCAGATGTCCACAAAGGACAAGTTACTGTAAGTTTATGTTTTGTGAGATTAATTTGTTTCCTTCTAATTTATTTTATTTTTGGAAAATGGTTAATTATAAAATGTCAACAAAGAAGAATAGGTAAAATAATATAATATTTTTCATGAAATAGGTTTTTTTTTAAAGCATAAATAGGTTTTCATTTTGATATTTTTATGTGTAAAATAGGTAAAAACAATATTAGTAAAATAAATCAGATTAAACATAAGTTGAGAGTTCTAATAAATATAAATATTAGTGAGAAAATGTATTATTTTTTAATATTGAGTGGCTGATAAGAAAATATACTTAAATTTAAAAAGATGAAGATTTGTTTTCTTTATTTATTAGATAAATGGATATATTATTTTTATATTCAAATTTTTACAAATATAACTTTATTTACTATATTTTTTTTAGTTTAGCCGTTAATCTATTTTATCATTTTTCTTAATTTTTATTATTTTTTAATATCCGATGAAATATCGTAATGTCAGGATATATCGTGACCTAGCGCAACCAAGCCTGGAGCCAGCGGTTGCGCCCTGTCCCTTTTCCTCAATAATTGCAAGGTGCAAGTGGGGTTTCTTACAAATTCTGGAACTCTAAAAAAATAGAAGAGAGAAGACGGGCCAGCCAAAACACATGTGGGATTCTGGCATTGCAAAGTGTTCTCAACTAAAAGCTAATTGAACTAGCTTTTTTCCAGGTAATGGAACATAGTTTAATGTATTGTCAACGGCTCTCTCGTAACAGTCTTGCTGATAAAAATAAAGCTAATTTTGTTGTACTTGCTAGAAATAGTAGCTGTAGTAGTTGTTCTTACTAGTATTACTTTTCCCAAGCAGAACGAAATCAGCAGTCTGATCCCAAGACAGAAACATAAGGTATTTAAGACAATCTTCTTTATCGTTTTAATTATCAAGATTTCGAGCTTGAAGGCCTGGAGCCTTGTGCAGTGTCTGTTGGATAAGGCTTTTTAAGAATGCTAAAAGATGGCAATGGCGTCTTATGTAAAAGTGATTCTAGGCTCAATTGCCTTTGCAATCTTCTGGGTACTGGCAGTTTTTCCTGCTGTTCCATGTCTACCCATCGGGAGGACTGCAGGGTCCCTTTTAGGAGGTATGCTGATGGTCATTTTTCAAGTCCTAACTGTTGATCAGGCATATGAAGCAATCGATCTTTCAATCCTTGGTCTACTCTTTGGTACAATGGTTGTCAGTGGATATCTTGAAAGCGCGGATGCATTTAAGTACTTAAGTAAGTTGCTCACATGGAAGAGTAAGGGCGCAAAGGACCTAATTTGCAGAATCTGCTTAATTTCTGCCATTTCAAGTGCTTTCTTCACCAACGACACATCTTGTATGGTTTTGACTGAATTTGTGTTGAAAACTGCAAGGCAGAAGAATCTCCCACCTCAACCTTTCTTACTTGCCCTTGCCTCAAGTGCTAATATTGGATCTACAGCAACTCCTATTGGCAACCCACAAAACTTGGTTATAGCCACAGAGAGTGGGATTTCTTTTGGGGAATTCTTAACCGGAATTCTCCCTGCGACTATACTAGGATCAATTGTCAATGCTCTATTACTTATATGCATGTATTGGAATTTGTTATCTGCTAAGATAGATGAAGAAGATTCAGCTGCACAATTTCTTACTGGGGATAGTGTAAGTTCTCACCATTTTTCACCAGCCACAATGTCACGTTTGGCATCATCAAGCTCTCAAGGACGACTCCCTGGATTGGAAATTACAAATGTGCTAACCTTTCCCTATGCAAATGGTAGTGGGAACTTGGTTCATTATGACACTCTTAGAAACCGTGTAAATTCAAACCAGGGTGAGACTGAGATTCATGGCTTCCTGAATGGTCCCTGGGAGTCAAGGACTTCAAATTGTTCAGAAAGGTGGAAAAGGAAGCTGTGGAAATCCTGTGTTTATCTAGTTGTTGTAGGAATGTTGATCTCTTTGCTTATGGGTCTTAATATGTCAGGGACTGCAATTTCTGCTGCACTTGGTCTCATGATTCTTGATTTTAAGGATGCTGTGCCATACCTGGAGAAGGTAAAATCAGCTACTATGACTCTTTTACCCCTAATTTAGATGTGAATTGATCGTATTACTGTTTAGACATATGGAATTGTCAGTAACTTGTTGGGAATTTTACTTCTCTGGTTTGAACAGGTATCCTACTCTCTTCTAATATTCTTCTGCGGGATGTTTGTCACCGTCCAAGGTTTTAATAAAACTGGAATCCCAAGCGCTCTATGGGAGTTAATGGAACCCTATGCAAAGATTGATCAAGTCAGTGGAATAGCAGTCCTTGCACTTGCCATTCTTGTCCTGTCAAATCTGGTCTCAAATGTGCCCACTGGTATGTTGATTTTTCTCTTCTATATTGCTCTATCTTCTTCTTGATGAGAGTGGCTTTCAAATTTGGTCTCATTCAAATTCTATTTCTTTGCAACACTTGCTCGGAAACAATGTTTTTAGCAGTGGAAAACTAGATCAGTTTTGAAGAATATATAACATTAATGAAGTTTCTCCCACAGTTTATTTTAGGATATAGGATTCTTTGGTTCTTGGAGCTGGGATAGATTTTGCATTTTAAAGAATGGCTTATGCCTTCTGATTTAGGATGTTGCTGAATGAAAAGATAAAGCATAATTAGATCCTAATCATATGAACAAATGAAAAATAAAATAAAATGTAACTATATTCTGGTCATAAGACAAATTTGCTGATGGTACAGTTGATTTGCGTTATGACAGTGTGGAGTTGAACAACAAGTTATGCTAAAAGCATATCTTTCTGAAGAGAACTGAGCTGTACATTTTGAGAGCTTTTAAGAACGTCGCCATGTAAAGAAGCAAAAGGAAAATGTAGCTACACTTCAACATAGCAATTAGGTAAATTATAGAACTTGGCACAATTCGTCTGATGTAACTAAAACGTAGGATCCTCACCATATAAATGTTCAAAACAGCCTCTTTCCTCCAAATACTTGATTTTTGATAAAATCTTGAAACATTTTAACTGCTTTTTTGACATATCTGCAGTTTGGGTCATGCACTACTCAGATGTAGTAAAAGAAGAGCAATGAACAGAATGAATTTTCTTCAAGAATTATGGATCTCTTTCCTTTAATTTAATGAAGTTGACGAGCTTCAAAAAAGAAACAAGCTTCCCAAATATCTGTTTCAAGTCATATGCAATACCCATACTCAGGTCAAGTCAAGAAGAGGAATGAAACAAATTTCCTTTTAGAATTGTGGATCTTCTTGCTTTAATTAATTTAATGAAATTAAAAAGCTTCAACTGGGTAAAAATCTCATTCTCAGTTCTTTGAAGATTCAACTACAACTAAAGTAATGGAAAATTAGTAAAATGACTGATGGGATATAAGTTTTTGTTTTACATCTTTTTGAACACATAAAAAAATAAAATGAAATTCTTTGTTAAACAGGTAATTAAAGGAATAAACAGATAAGTTGACACTTAACTATCTCAAGCTCTCAATGTTTCATTCTTTCCTTTCATCAGAAAAGCAACAAGTGATCGCAACTTATAATTAAACTAAAGCACATTAGCTTCAGCTCTATTTTAGTTTCTGAAACTGCAAAGATAGAAACCTGTCCACCAGCATATGCTGTTACTAATATTATACATTTTGAGATGCAAGCCAGTAATAGAACTTTCATTCCTAGACTAGATGCTTGAAATTTTGTGGAAGTATTGAACTGATGCTATGGTGTCCATTTGAATTAGGCCTCGGATAAGCGGGATGCCTCTTTTAATCTGTCATTTAGTTCATTTATAGATTCTCAATTGCCAATGGACTTAAACCTCTTGAATAGCTTACTGACAAATTCTTTCACATGTTTGTGTTGAGTGTGTGTGTGTGAGTGACATCTATAGTGGAAGCCTTGCTACCTTGGTGATTCTACTTGTCACTGGTTTTAATTCTCTATCCTTATGATGAAACCTTGGTTTGTTTTGAGTCATTATTGACATCATAGCTGTCATAATTTAAACCATGCACATATGAGGTAATATGTTGCTTAATCCCCATATGTTTCACTTGTATCAGTTCTGTTGCTTGGGGCAAGGATGGCTGCATCAGCAGCATTGATTTCAACAGCCTCTGAGAAGAAAGCATGGCTCATTTTAGCTTGGGTCAGTACTGTGGCTGGGAACCTCTCATTATTGGGATCTGCTGCCAACTTGATAGTGTGTGAGCAGGCCTGCCGTGTTCCAATTCTGGGGTACACTTTAACGTTTTGGAGCCATCTCAAATTTGGAGTCCCCTCAACTCTTTTAGTCACTGCCATCGGCTTGTTACTGATAAAATCATAGCAACTACAATACTCATATCACAGAGCATTTCAGGGTATGATTATTCTTTGTTGATGCATAAAAGAACCTAGGTATCTTTTCTCCTCAAATCAATGATTAGAGGACAAATTTTTGTGGTTGGCCTGGGAAATTCCAGCTTGATTATGTATGGACTCTGGCCTGGTTCACCTGATCTTCGTGGCTGTCCAAACTGATCTGGACTTGGCTGGGCCTGGCCACAAAATGGGACCCAAGAAGTGACCCTGGCTGGTCCCAGAAGTTCAAAAGTCATTGATCCCTTGACCAGAAATTTCAGGAAGCTGGGGGAGTGTAAAGGGGTACGGACAAAAGATTTGTGGGTTTTTCTGCATGGACTAATACATTCCAGTCCATCTCTTTTGACTTTGTCAAAATTTGACGCCTCTACTGTCTTTCCATGAGCTCTAAAGCTCGCGTGCATAAGTGGTATGGGTATTATTTGTTACATGAAGAATCAATGTCCTTTATCAACAAACAACGTTCGAGATTTATTGACATCCTTAATTCTTTCTTTCCTTCAAAATAAAAAAAAACCACTCAAATTTAAGAGCAAGAATATGCAAAGTTGAAACTTATACAGCAATCAACTTTCCTATTCTATTTAACGCGCCATTATTACTGTAAAAGACTTTCTATCACAACTTAAAAAATCAATAAAGAAAAAAAAAAAAGGAGAACAGGCAATCACCTTTACAACCACCTAACTAGCAGCACTGAATTTACAAATTCAGAGATATGAAAAAGAATGTCATTTTCAGCATTGAACCAATAGCCCACGGGTCATTTTCAACACGTGAATATGAACTTCTCACTTCTAGAAAAAAAAGGCGAGTTCTAAATAATCATTTACTACTACCAAGAAATGAAACATGAAGATTTATATGGAAATTTGAAGATTTTATTGTTTATATATAAATATACCGAATAAATAATCACAGCCGTCGGATGGGGACCCACATTCCGGATGTAGGGTTTGGCGGTTCTAGCATATAGCAACCCACATGAAACATATGAGAGAGTAAGGCATAATGCAGGCTCCTACGGCGCAAATGAAGTTATTTTTTTGTCATGGGATGGGGAGGAGAGATGTACCAACGCCAAGTTGCCAATTAGACATGATAAGGAAAAAAAGAAAAGGCAATTGTGGGGTCATGCCACGTGCAATTGTGCTAGTGGTGGTGGGGCTTAAATTCCGAAGGACCCCACGAGTTCCCTCCTTCTAAGCTTTCCACATGGCCATGTACATCTCCCCTTTCAATTCCATTCCATGGTCTGGGCCGCTTGCCAATCTTTTCTTTCATTTCCAAAGCCTCCCAACCTTTCTCGATGTACAATGCATAATAAAATTATAGTCCGAGACTTTTGTCACTTAACTTTTTATTTTGATGCTTTCTTCCTTCAAAATTTAAGCTAACAATAATAGAGTAAATAATAAGAGTAATGATTACAAGGGTATTTTTAGGTAATCATAAAGTTGGGGCAAAGGACTTTGGTGCACATTTTATAAATTGGATAAATAGTAATTCCTAAAATTCATTGATTATTTCGAATAGTTTTAGACATTTTCAAAATTTTAGAATCATTGTGTTTTGTTGTCTTTAGAGTCATAGTACTTGTTATCTTATTCACAAGTAATATTTCATAATAGTACCAATATTTTATCTTCAAAACAGAAGTATTGAATTTGATTATATATATATAATAAGTATTTAATTTTAATACCTAATTCCCTAGTTATAAAAAAAATAAAAGTGAATAAAAAATTGAATAACCATGAAATATTACTATTAGGAAAGTCTCAAAGTTCTATCAAAGTCTTAAACTAGGACATGCAAACATAAAAATATTATAGATGCGAAGACATATTTTGTTCTTTGCATTTTTGATGGAAAGAGAGTTGAAGAGTTGATGAAGGGTATGATTTTTTATTAGTTCATAGATATATATATATATATATATGTAAATGTCTTTTCAGAAGAATGATGGAAAACTGGACCATAAAAATATCATATTCAGTAGATTAAATTGACTTGGAGCCTTATTGTCAAAAGCTTAATTGCAGTCAGCCAGGTCTAAAATTGAAGGCTAGGAATTCTGCCAAAACCCATGCATCGTTAATTACTACAATTTGGTGGCGGAAAGAAAGAGATACGCAAATACTATATACTATAAAATTAAAATTAAAAAAAATTGACCTTTGGGAGTCAAAATTATATTTTAAAAATTTTATGGTACATAAGATTTTTTTTTCAAAACAAGACGAGTAATTAATTTGCAGCCACCAACCCCATAAAAAAAATTTAAATTGTGCACATTTAACTCACGTAAACAATGAAGTAGAGGAAGATTTATAATTTATAATTTATTTTTCAAAAATCAAAATTATTTTTATAAAAAAAAAAAGGTTAGAAGGCGGGATCAGATCCTAATGGAAGAGAAATATAAAAATAACTGTACGTGGAAATTTACTGCTGCAGTGCTGCTCGTGCTTTTTATTTATTTTTATGATTATTATATTCAAATTTTATTATCGTATAATAATAGTACTAATTTTTTTTTAATATTCTAAAATCAACGTTCAGACAACTCCATGTCTCAACTCAGACATCCTCTCTCTTGCTTTCTCTCTCCATTTCTATCAATCTCTATCTCTACGCGATCTATTAACAAGACTCTCACAATTTCACAAAAGCTAAAAAAAAAAAATAAATCTTTAAAATATCTCTCTCTTTCAATTTAGATTTCTAGGGCTTTTTTTTTGGTTCGGGTTTTTGCTTCTTAGCTGGCGATATATTGGATGATTTGAAGCAAATTCTCGCTCGATTTTCGTCAATTTATCAGTGTGTTGGAGCTCAGATTCGTAGCTCCAAGCATGTGAAGTAAGTTTCCTTTTTTTGTTTCGTTTGATGTTGAGTAATTTTTGTTAGTTATTGTTTATCAGTTAATTGCGGTGTTCGTTGTAGTTTGTTTCTATCATTTTTGGAGTTTGTATGTAGATCTGTTGGTTGGAAATTAAGTTTTGAGCAGTTTTAAGAGCGTGACATTTTGTTTGGTTTCCGAGAAAATTGGGGAGGGAAAAGAAAAATGTTTAGTATTGTTTCACGGTCTAAACAATAAAAAATTTCAGATTCAAAATCATATCTTTTTCGGTTGTAATATGTGTTTTGAAAGATGTTTGTTGCTCCTAGGGATTGAAGTCGAGTTTGTTTATGGTTATAGAAACCGATGTGATTTTTTTACATTGGTGAAGTCAAATGTTGTTCTGTTTCTGGGTTTTCATGAAGTTGAAGTGAATCAAGTAGAACCTGGTAGCTTGGGGACTTAAAGTGGTTATCTGAGAAACCCTAAAGGCAGAGGGCTGAAGAGACTGAGGTTTAAGAAGTCTGGTTTCTGCTTTATAATAATAGTGGCATGCATGGCATGGAGTCGATTCCTCTAATCAAGAAATTTGAGAAACCGCGGTTTCTTAGTGACATGTTATCTCAATCCACATGATGAAAGTTATTGGTTTAGAAGATAGACAAACATGCATTAACATAAACAGATACACTCGTTTGCCTACAAAAGAAAGGAATGTCATATTTTCCTATCGAAGTACTTAAAGCTGTAAATTCGTGTATGGTATGGAGTATTATTGTGATCTTACTGGCTTTTGATCATGGTACATATAAGTATTTGAGGAAAACTAAGCATGTGGTCCCTCCTCCCCTCTTCTTTTTCTTTTCTGCAGATTTTAGCATTTGCTGTTGGTTGTGAAGCTCACAGGATTCCAGCTCACAATCCAGAATTTTCTGAAGCTTCCCTATTTTGAATCCATTGTTGGATTAAAGAATTGAATTCTATATTGGTCTCAAGCTCTAGAGTTGTAGTATGATATTTGGAAATGAATTTACTTTAGAAAAACTTGCTAACTAGCGCTCCAGATCTTAGAAATCAGAAACATGCCTTCATGGTGGGGAAAGTCATCATCTAAAGAAGTGAAGAAGAAATCAAGCAAGGAAAGTTTCATTGATACTTTACATCGAAAATTTAAGATTCCATCTGAAGGTAAACCAAACAGTAGATCAGGGGTATCACGAAGACGTTGCACTGACACAATTTCTGAAAAAGGGTCTCAATCCCAAGCAGCATCAAGGTCTCCTTCACCTTCTAAGCAGGTTTCTAGGTGTCAAAGTTTTGCTGAAAGGCCTCTTGCTCAACCGCTTCCACTTCCTGATCTGCACCCTGCAATTGTGGGTCGTACAGATTCTGGAATTAGCATATCAACCAAACCAAGGCCAGAAAAAGGCTCAAAGTCATCATTATTTCTGCCTCTCCCAAGACCTGGATGCATACGTCATAGGCCAAATCCTAATGACCTAGATGGAGATTTCAATACTGCTTCAGTTTCCAGTGAGTGCTCTGCTGAAAGTGATGATCCCACTGACTCACATCATCGTAGTCCCCAAGCAACTGATTATGACAATGGGACTAGAACTGCTGCAAGCGGCCCTTCCAGGTGAGCCTTCTTGCTTTTAGTTAACCATGGTGCTTGCAATGTGGGTTTATTCTTGTACAAACATGGTATTGCACATTTTACTTCTGGTTTCCTTCTGTCATTTGTTTGCTAAAAGACTCATCCCTGACAATCGTTAACTTCTTTTTTGTCTGAAGTATGATGCTCAAGGACCAATCCTCTACAGTCAGCCAAAGTAACTCAAGAGAGGCAAAAAAACAGACTAATATTTCCCTTGGTAATAATATCTCACCAAAATCACCTAAAAGGAGACCTATAAGCAATCATGTGCCAAATCTACAGGTTCCCCAACATGGTGCTTTTAGCAGTGCTCCGGACAGCTCCATGTCAAGTCCTTCTAGAAGTCCAATGAGTGCTTTTGGCACAGAACAATTGATGAACTCTCCTTTCTGGGTAGGAAAGACTTATACTGATGTCAGTTTACTTGGATCTGGCCATTGCTCCAGTCCTGGTTCAGGTCACAATTCTGGGCATAATTCAATGGGTGGAGACATGTCAGGACAGCTATTTTGGCAACAAAGTAGGGGCAGCCCTGAGTATTCGCCAATACCAAGTCCTAGAATGACCAGTGCTGGTCCTAGTTCCAGAATTCATAGTGGTGCTGTCACTCCTATCCACCCTAGATCAGCAGGCACAGCCACTGAGTCACAGACTAGCTGGCATGATGATGGAAAACAACAAAGCCACAGGTTGCCCCTTCCTCCTGTAACAATTCCCAATTCTTCTCCTTTCTCCCATTCAAATTCAGCAGCAACATCTCCCTCTGTGCCACGAAGTCCAGGAAGGGCAGAGAATCCTGTAATCCCTGGCTCACGGTGGAAGAAAGGAAAGCTTCTAGGCAGAGGCACATTTGGTCATGTTTATGTTGGCTTTAACAGGTATAATACCCCAAAGAAATAGTTGTTAATTTCATTTTCTTAAGTTTTTTATGCTGGGAAATTGGCATTTATTGCCCATTGATTTATGCCTTATGCTAGTCCATCCTTGAGCTGAGTAATTGAGACTGATGTTTCAGTGTTTATTTTATTTATCAATTGCATGTGCTCCTTGCAATATCTTACATGATTGACGAAAGTGCGCATCTGAGGATTTCTCCCTGTTTTCTGTTTTGAAAGATTTGTCAGTAATTGGTATTGTTATGTCTGATTTTGTTTTGTAACTTCCTCAGTGAAAGTGGTGAAATGTGTGCAATGAAGGAGGTTACTTTATTTTCTGATGACGCCAAGTCAAAAGAAAGTACTAAGCAGTTGATGCAGGTAAGCTGTTTTTGCATCAGAGTACGAAGTTTTCAGTTGTCCATATGATATCAAAAGCAAAAATGTGTTCCTTGTTATGCTTTAACTTGGTTGTAGCTTTGAAAGAATTTCATATTCTTATTGCTCCAACAGGAAATTGCTTTATTGAGCCGCTTATGGCATCCGAACATTGTGCAATACTATGGGTCTGAAAAGGTGTGTCCAATGTCTGACAATCTGTTTTGTTGGTTTGAAATTTTGTCTATTATGGTTATTTAAAATTGTTATTAAGATAATTAGAAACTCCATTGACCAAAGGATTCTTTCCAAAGCAGTTGCCCTTTATGTTATTGAGAAATATGAATCATAATGTTAAGAAACTTTTGGGAACTATATTCGTGGTCACTTGACTTACCTAACTGCAAAATACTATAACTTGGTAAGCAATTTATTGGAAAATAAAAGTAAAAGAGAAAAACTAGGGGTTAATGATTATTATGCTTTACTTACTGAATTTTGGATTGAATTCCTGAGCAGGTAGATGACAGACTCTATATTTACCTTGAGTATGTATCTGGTGGGTCTATTTATAAACTTCTCCAGGAGTATGGACAGCTTGGTGAACTAGCAATTCGCAGTTATACTCAACAGATCTTGTGTGGGCTTGCCTACCTACACTCTAAGTCTACTGTCCATAGGTGAGTTAAGTTATCTATTCCTAATCTGATATTTAGAACTATGAACTTAATGGCAGCTGTCTAGTGATATTTGCATCAAGGAAAATAATGTTCATCTTCCTATCCTATATTTCTTGTACAGAGATATTAAAGGAGCAAACATACTTGTAGATCCTAATGGTCGTGTTAAGTTGGCTGACTTTGGGATGGCAAAGCATGTAAGTGTAGCATGTGTAGGCTTAATCATTTTCATTTTGAATGAACTTTGTGAGATTAAATTGGAGGTAGCCCAAGCTTGTGAAGATTAAATTATGTACTTATTTGATACTGCATTATTATTCAATGATTAGACTTTGTTCTGTAAGGTTACTTCCTCTACTTATGTAATATATGCTTTGCAGATTGCAGGGCAGTCATGTCCATTGTCATTTAAAGGAAGCCCTTACTGGCTGGCACCGGAGGTTAGACTACTTTTTCCTCTTCTTTTGGTCTTTTGGCTTTGAGGTTTATTTCTGGTTCTTAATAATCCATCACATTTAAGGGGGAAAAAGACACGATTTATCTGGTTTGAGCTTCCTTCCATTGTGAAAGCTTCTTTGTAATGTATCTCAATTTTCTATTTATTATTTGCGCAGGTTATAAGGAACTCAAGTGGTTACAACCTTGCTGTGGATATATGGAGTCTTGGATGCACTGTTTTGGAAATGGCTACAACAAAACCTCCTTGGAGTCAATATGAAGGGGTCAGTTACAAGAAAAGCGAGATAGGATACTTTAAATTTATCAGCTATTTAATTGTGTCTTTGATAAGAGTTCTAAGACAAGCTTCTTTTACAAATTCTCAAGCATACATCTTAATTAAAGTTTATATATTCTAATTGTATATGCAATTTTTATTATTTTTTCTTATTGTCTGATTTTTGCATGTCAGGTTGCTGCTATGTTCAAGATTGGGAATAGCAAGGAACTTCCACCCATTCCAGATTACCTCTCAGATGAAGGAAAAGATTTTGTGCGGCAATGTTTGCAACGCAACCCACTACATCGTCCTACAGCAGTTCAGCTTTTAGATCACCCATTTGTAAAGTGTGCTGCACCTTTGGAAAGACCTATTCCTGATCCTGAGCCTTCAGATCCAACTCCTGGTGTTACAAATGGGGTGAAAGCTCTGGTATTTTTCTTATTCATATTGCTTTATCTAATCCATAAGTAGGATGCCAGCATGCCCTATATTGTTGCATTAATTACTATGAGCAGTTCATTTAGGCAATGAAATCAATTGCTATAATATATGTTTAAATGGGTCTCATCATCTTTGTTGTACTTTCCATTCTTAAATCATATTGCAGTGGAGCTTAGCCTGTCATTTATTTACCTTGGGTAATGTATTCTGAATGCATGATAACTTTTCATTACTTCATGTGCAAAAGCTTCGTGATTAACTGGATGAAAAACTGAAGGCATGAAATAGATTTGTTATTTCTTATATTTGGAATGGAAACATGTCATGTTTTGATTTTTTAGTGTATATCTGCTTCGCTCTCCTTTTTTATTGTGGTGAGTGGAGAGGGGTGCAGAGGGGGGCAAAACCCAAAGAAAGTAACAAAAAATTTCAAAGGAACAAATCAAGGTCTTACTATGCGTAAGTTACCTTGTTCTAACAGATCATTAGTAACCACTCACAGCTGTAAGTAAACAAATAAACGTGAAACAAGCTGAAAATTGTCATCTGATCTGCACTAACATTATATTGCCTGCAGATATGCCTAATTTTGGCTCTGTAATCTCACTGGGATTTTGGTTCACAACAGACTACAGTGTAGGCATATCCAATTTATTTGTGAGCTTTATACTATCAGCATTTTGCATGTGAATTTGTTAAGGGGAAAAGGGATAAATGTTTCTGGAACTCTTTCATATGGACAAGTTGCGAGGGTAAAGGGGGCCTATAAGCAAAACATCTGTGAGTGCACCAAAAATCTGAATAAGTTGTTCTGGTAAGGCATAGAGAGACAATGACTGCAGTGGCTAAGAAAACATGCTTACGTTTTGAGATTAGTATTTGTGCAGGCAACGCCGCTGTCTCTGCTCTCAGTCTTAGTCACATTATAACTTTAATGCTTGACCCATGGCAGAGACAAGTTTACCTACTGCTTACTTTCTCATTTTATTTATATTTTTTGGTTGTCTTGGTGCAGATCTTGAAGTGGCTTGTTACGCCTGTTTGTCTTTTTGGCCTGAATTTGTTACGCCTGTTTAAATTATGAATTTTCACATGCTACCAATCTTTACTGTTGTTGTGACTTATTGACATCTCAGGGCATTGGGCAAACAAGGAATTATTCCTCCTTGGATTCAGAGCAACTTGCGGTTCATTCATCCAGAGTTTCAAAATTGCATGCTAGGTCTCTCTCTCTCTCTCTCTCTCTCTCTCTCTCACACACACACACACACACACACATAATCCCACAAACACAAACAGTAACAATTATAATTATCAACATTGTACGCTTCTGGGTTACATTTCAATTCTCTGATATGCAGTGATGTTGGTATTCCAAGGAATGTATCTTGCCCCGTTTCGCCCATAGGGAGCCCTCTTTTGCATTCAAGGTCACCACAACATCTGAATGGAAGAATGTCTCCTTCTCCCATATCTAGCCCACGGACGACTTCAGGCTCATCTACACCTTTGACAGGTGGCAATGGTGCTATACCTTTTGGTTACCTGAAACAATCAGCTTACTTGCAAGAGGGTTTTGGAAGCATGCCAAAGCCCTCAAATGGTCTTTATGTCAGTGGCTCCTCTTATCATGATTCTAATCCTGACATTTTCCGGGGATTGCAATCAGGGTCTCATATCTTTTCGGAACTGGTGCCATCAGAAAATGATGTTCTAGGAATTGGAAGGTCAGTTCATGGGGAATCTTATGATGGACAGTCTGTATTGGCTGATCGAGTGTCGCGACAGCTTCTGAAGGATCATGCAACAATGAGCCCATCCCTGGATCTAAGTCCCAGGTCTCCCTCACCAAGCAGAACTGGTGTTATTATCTAAATACAGTCTGAAGACTCACCGATCAGAGTGAATCTCAAGGTTTATCAGGATGTCTTTTGGGTCTGATGGGATGAATTGATATTCATCTCGTTAACTTCCGAGGAAGCAAATTGTTTAATAAGGAACCAGAACAGATTTGAGGAATAAGGTTGAAGTGCAGGGAAATGAGGTGGCTGGTGACTGATGGATCATTTGCCATGGATTGGAGTTCAGGCTTAATGGATTGTGATCTTTAATGATAAAGCTATTGACAAATCGATTCCAGTTAGATGTTCAGTAGACCATTTATTCAGATGAAGCTAGTTTCCTGGCCAATAAGAATATTGTCGTCACTAGTAGTTTTGACATGACGCGGCATGGATCTGTACAGAGTTGTGTAAATCAACTAATGCTTAACTGAACTGTGGTGATGAAAAGCTTGTTGCCAGGAGAAGGATGGCTTCTGATGATCTGATGTATTAAGTTACTCAAGTATAGGCAATCTTCTTGCCTGCAAGAATTATATATTCTTTAAGATCATCATACAGAGGAACTAAGTTGGCCAATTATTTGCGTAGGTTTGACACAGTTGTACAGATTTTGAAGAACTGAAGAGGGATTCCAAGATTGGTTATGAAGCAGTGACAGGAGTGCTGAGCATGTGCCTGACTTCAGTGGCGATGGTACATGCCACAGCTCAATTGTAATTGTTATGTACTGCTCTACCTGATTTATTGTATGTACATTACTACTTCAGTAAATTGAAGAAATCTAATTCCATGGTCCTGCATCTTCCAGTACTCTGGTCATCTGGCATCAACATATTTTGATGGAAGTGTCAAAAAATGTTGAACGAGTCATTTCTATGTGGACCGGTTCTTCAAAGGGAAGAAATCCCCGCTAATAATGTCCCAAGATATTAAATCATTTATGCGGTTTTGCAGGTTTATGTGCTTTATTATTCTCCAGGTTGGAGTTGTGTGGATAAGACATCGCACCCTTAACAATGGATTCAAATCGTGTATATTCTACAGAATGTCTGACGCAGACGCTGTCCGGACTCCAGAACGACAAACAGCTGTTAAATTGTTAACAAAAATATCTGGAAGGAACATAATCTCTATCAAGTATGAGGACGCTTATTGACCAGACAAGCTGAAATCCCACAGTTTCCTCGCCAGCTCACTATCATTAGCTTGTACGCTTGTTTCAGCTACGTTACAGTCTGTAAAGTAGAGACCAGTCCTTCCCTTAATTTGTGGATGCAACACAACATAGCATGTACTTGCTGTCCCCTGAAACAACCTCACTTGAACGATTAACCCAAAACATGATAATTTTCTACAGAACTTCAACATCGGGTGTAAAACTGTAAAAAGTTATACCTGCTCTACATTTTTAATGACATATTTACCAAAAAGGCCAACAAGATGCAACAGAGCCAGAAAATAAGATAATTGTCTGCTTTTATTTCAGTTATCAAAATGAAAGATGTAACCCAAACATCTCAATTATAGAAATACTGGCTCTTTTAGTAAAGCTTGAGCACTCCTACTCTCACCAGAAAAACCAAACATTTATTATCACAAGGAATAATACCACTTGCCAGCTAGCTCTTTGAGTATGCTTATACAGTTATACTGAACTCCACACTTCCATTTGAAGAAAAATGAGAAACTGTTGTGGCCCTTTGAGAGTCAATTTCCTATAATATAAGAGATGAAAAAGGGAGACTCTGGATGTAGAGGAGCATTGGTGTTATCATGTTATAAATGTATCACATTAAGCACAGGATGCTTTTACAGTAATTTTGGTTACACACATGTATTATCTTTACCCACACGAAGTTGCTGTATTTTGAGCTTGTATCTGTATATTATTCTGTAACAACAGGAAATTTAAGCGGAAAGAGATTCAAAACCACTAAAAGGCTGAGATGACGAAAGAGGTTGGTTGAATGACACCCGGATGAAGTGAATTTGCTGTTATGGCCACTTGATCCGCCTGTTTAAAGAACATACAATCAAAACATAGCAGTACTTTACAGTTGGCATGAATATCATATACTTTCTCTAATCAGTTCCATAGTTTGACATTCTCGTGCCTACATGGACAACTCTGTCATGTGTTAGAATAAAAGTTCTAGGTGGTTCATGGTAATAACACTAATGAGTGGACCTCATTCAACCACCCTGTACTGTTTATATCGTAAATTCCACTGTATAATCACAATCATGTCCCCAAGATGGTTTCCAAGATAATTGCTACAGAGTAAATAATTTGAACCAATACATACACCCTTCGTTGGTCCAAGAATGAACAAATGCACCAGACAGCCAAGCCAACCATTTTAGCAGAGAAAAAAAATATATAAAAAAAATTAACTTATATAATTCCAGGAAAAAAACTAGTATTAAATTGTTTAACAGATAGTGTCACTGGTGTAATAATCATCCCTGAACAAGCAAGGCACCTTTAAACGTCTTGCAAGTTCATTAGCATGCAATACATTGGCAAGCTTTGACTGACCATATGCAGATACACTGTTGTACCTGTAGTCAAGTTCACAAAGAAGTAAGGACATTTCCTTTATGTGATTCAGTTATGATTTAATTATGGAATGCATACAGATGGTGTTACCCTGATTGATCATTGATTTCGTCAAATCGAATCCCTTCTGGATATGGAGAATTTGTGAGGGCGTGATGAGACACATTTACAATTCTTCCTTCTGTCTTACTTCCATCAGCTGTCTTCTTCATGGTTTCCAACAATAGATTTGTTAGAAGAAAATGTCCTGCTAAAGGAAACAGACTCTTGTGAGAGAGAATACACTCTCGGTTGAATGCCTCCTCAAGTTGTCATATAACCATACTATATGTCCCTTTTCACTACACCTTAACACAAATCAATGTCTTTACGATTTTACCCATGTGGTTTGTCGCGAATTGTAATTCTATGCCATCTTTGGAAAGCATGAATGATGTCGCCATGATCCCTGCATTGTTACTTGTTAAAAAAGAAAGTATTTCTGTTAATAATAATTCATACGTTTCAAAGATATAAACATTGGCATATCTTGTTAAACAGCTAAGAGACAAATAAAAACAGGGGAGAGAGCGAGTCAGTTATCTTTTACTCAGTTTATGTTACATGAGGATGTTGAGCGGAAGACCTGAGGATTTGAAATCTGCAGCAAATTTCCTTACTGATGCCATTGAACTCAGATCTAACTCCATTGCATCAATTTTTGCATTGGGATTTTGCCTAACTATTGTTTCTTTGACTCCCCTGCCTGCAGTCAAATTCCTGACCCCCATAACTACGTGGACACCGCGCAACCCCAGAACACGTGCAGTTTCAGTGCCAATGCCACTTGATGCCCCTGAAAAACAACTACTGCCTGATGAGAAACCTATACATTTTTCAAATGTACCCGTCTTTCTCTCTGCTTTATTGTTTATCAGAAATTTTATCCTTCTTTCACAGTATACTATGGCTTTATGTTGGTGAACATCAACAAGCTCAGCGAAGTAAATCCAAAAACGTAGGTTCAATCAGTGATCCCACGTTCCATCCCTTCTTGCTTATATTCTAGAGATGACGCCTCCAAAAATGATACAATACAAGCAATTATTTTCAAACATAGCACTAATTATCTTTTTTAATTAAAAAAACTGCAGAAAATTTTTATACTGGGCATGGAAACCATGAACTAATCATCACTCAGAATGCAGAAAAAATGGAGTAGAAAGGATTTCCTTCTTATCTGCTGTTTTCTTTGGGTAAGAATAGAGTAACAAGAAAGACCTGTGACGATGGCGGTTAGGCCAGTGCCATCAAGTCCTTGAGTAGCTTCCTCAGCTGTAGAAGAAGCTGAGAACCCTGTTGCCCCTTTCCTGCTAAACAAGCACATTTGTGGAAGAAGCAATTTCAACTCAAAAATAAGAGCAAGTCCCAAGTTTTCTTTTCCTTGGTTGTTTGGTAAGTCAATGGATAAGTTTGGTAGTGTTCGATTGGGTTCGCGGTCGGAATCTCCAAACGGTAAAAACTGTTAGTTCTGTTACGCTAACTCAAGACAATGATTTTTTTTTCTTACAATTAATGTAAACTTGTTGTGACAAGTAAATGGTAATTTTCTGCATATCAAACTCCATTGATGCATCTTAACGTGAAAGAGGATGCTATAAATTGTTAAGACTTCCATATAATATATTTGCCACCCATGCACTAATGAATTGGACAACTGATCATGGTCTAACAATTCATAGCATTTCATAATTTCTAATTCAGATCTCAATTTCATTAAAAAAAATTATTTTCAAGAAAACCTCCTACATATGATTTATTCTTACTTCACAAACTGTTACAAGACAAGTTTAAACACTGAACGTAAATTAGAATAAGTTTCATTGTTAAATGTTCCAAGCATGCTAAAATGACAGAACTGATGTATTAAATTATTTTGTTCATTGAAAACATATTTTTAAGATTGGAATGAAACAGATTTAGGAGCCATATATGCTTATGTGAATGAAAAAGTAGGAAGTATAAATTTGATGTTTGAATGTTAAGATTTATGTTAGATGAAGTGTGAATTGATTGTGCCTTTAAAAGTGATAGCCTAAACTTTATACCAACTTCATATCTTATAAAGTCGAGCTACTTAAATGTGAATGTGAGGTTGAAAAAAAACTTAAGAATACATTGTAAATCAAGAAAACTTTTGACAAGTAATTGTTATGTCTGTTTCAAAGCCTCCATAATGTGCGAGTCAACACCCAAACCGTTTTAAATTAGTTAGCAACAGAAAACTGATTTTGAAAGCTTTGATACTGAAGTTTGCTTTACAATCTTACCACATGTGGTGTTTGTTCTTGTCTCCTGGGTCTTATTTCTCCTAAAAATCCTAAGTATCTCAATTTTATATGAAGATTCAGAATAAACAGTAAACTAACAAAATAAAATAAAAAAGATGCAAAATTTTACGTGGTTCGGCTTTTAAAGCCTACGTCCACGGGAGTGAGGAAAAAAATTTCACTATGAAGTTGAAAAGAACATACAAGCGGGGATTAACATCAAAAGGGTATCTCCGAAAACCCCGACCCAACAACACCTTAGATTCTCTCAGTTTGCACATAATTCCACCCCGACAATTGCTCTGGGTGAAAGGAAACTTGACTAACATTCGCACCATCACCTGCTCAAAACAAAACACGAACCAATAAGGCAAGCACTCGGTAAAAACTTTTTGAAACTTGTTATCGATCTTTTATCAAAAAGTACCTTGGATAAATGGCGGCTGGTTTTGAAGGAACTAGCACTGGACCAACTGGCAGAGTTAGGGTGTAAAACTCAAGAAAATTCCTCAAAATCCACGACCATCGGTTCTTCATAGTCTTCTTCTTATCATCGATACGGTTCAACTGAGAAATGGTTCTGGGTTCACTTTTGGAGCAGGTTTAGCCACTTCTGGAACCCCAAAAACATTCCAGAATCTCAGTGTCTCATCCCCTGCGGCTGATGCCACTGTGCAACCATCCGGGCTTTGAGCCATGTAAAGAACTCTAGATGTATGACCAGTTAGCTCTGCCATCTTCACCATTGATGGATATTCCAAAGAACTAATTGATTCTGAGTGAATCCATGAGAGCTCAGAAGCTCCCTCTCATTCTTGTTCCACAGCAAAGCACACACCTGAGAGCCGGTATCCACCGAATTCAGGCATGCACCTGTATGTGTGTTCCAAAACTTAATGGTTCGATCTCCTCCACCTCCACCAGTGGCCAGCAAATTGCTCTGGAAAGGGCACCAGGCAAGGGCTTTGACAGCAGAAGTATGATCCTCCAACCTGTGTAGCCATTGTGTTGGTGAATTTGAAGATGCCATGGACCTGTCCCATATGTGAACAAGATTATCATTGCCTCCACTAGCTAGTTGTTGTCCAGAAGCTGACCATTTGAGACCGCAAACCTCTTGCTGGTGTCCTCTGTAGGTTTCAACAACATGGGATCTAATTCTTACATCATTGTTAACTATCTGACCATCCATTCCTCCTGTTGTAAGAATGTGATTATTCCATGCCAGTGAACCGACTCTTGATCTGTGACAACCTCTCAGAGTACGCAGCTGCAGGAACAAGGTAAGGAACTATATCAGAATAAATGACGGAAGAATGAAACAGAAGAAGCTGCAAAAACTTTAGAGATTTGTATAACAACAAACCTGTCGGTTGGAATTAGAATCCCATAACTGCACTTCAGAGTTGTTCAAGCCAATGGCAATATGCCTACCATCAGGAGCCCAACTAACACTTGTTATTGGGCCATTTTCATCATCAACAGTAACAAGTTCTGAGGTAGAACTATCTGAAGCATCCCACAAATACACAGTGTTTCCGAGTGCTATTGCTAGAACATTGCTGCTGCCCCAATCCAATAAATTCAGGTAGAAGTCGTCCACAAGGTCAGGAGCATCCAATGTTCTCTCAGAACTCTGAAGAATCAAAATATAGTGACAACATTTTAGTGTCTGTGGACCCAATCTTCAATGTCTGAACTAATCAAATGCACAAGGCATGATATGCTTACCTGTGGGATGTGTCTTCGGGGCTTTGCGGATTTGGTAGGGTGAACAGAAGAAGTTGATTGCTCGGAAGGGAAGAGTTCAACAGGTGTTGGTGGCTTGTTCTTGAAAGCCAAGATTCGGGTCCTATTCATGTTCAAGGTTTCGGCCAGCTGCTTCCTGTAGGCCTCCCTGGCAGGTGAGCACACTGTCTGGTTCTCTTTGACCTTCCTCCCTTCGGTCAGCATGTAATGTGCATAGTCAAAGTCCATTGCTGAACGGTTTGGTATAAACCTGTCCATCTGCAAGCACCAAGAAAGCATTCAATTTGAATATCAATAGAAAATCCAATTTTGTCAAGCCATTAATGAAAAGCTGTCTTCTAGAATCAAGTTTGAGACAAGAAACCCATGATTTGATTATTAATATCATTTTATCAAATTGATAAACCAAAAATCAAGAACAAAGAAAACCCAGTTTTGCAATCAATTAAATTAATTTAAATTGGCCATTTAAAAAAAAACAAATTTAATTTGGAATGAGTATTTACGTTTTCTTTAGAATTCCTTCTCTGCAGAAGTTGTTCCTGAAGTGGGCATCTAGATTGCCCCTTCAAATTTGAAAAAGAATTCAAAGATCCTGCATCCATAATGTTAAATACCCAGAAACACAAACAAATATAATACAGAGAAAAGAAAAAACAATAAACAAACAAAAAGACCCTGCAAGAAAGAATTAAGTCAAGTCGAAAATATTATAATATACGAACCTAGAACCTGCAAAAATTAAATCAAAATCATACAAAAAAAATTAACAAAATAAAATCAATTGAAAAAACGTCAGAAACAGAAAATTAGTGCCAGAGAAAGAAGCCTTGTTAGAGAGCGAGAGCTGATTGAAGACGATTGGGCGAATCGATGCCTTTATATAGCGATGCCAATGAGGGGTAGGAAAGCAGAGTTCATTTCCCTTGCGATTTAGAGAATTTCATTCTTTCGTTGAAGGGAATATCTAGGTTTATGGAAAGTGGCAACGGCTACTTGTTGGCAAAGAGCCGTTATAAATCAGGTTGACGAAAATATCCCCCCTGTTTCCTTTCGGTTATGCAAGTGCATCTCGTCTTCGCTTGTAAATTCATAAGCCGGTGATAAGTTGGTGGGCCGCGCTCGTGTTGCCACGTGGGCTTGCCCGATCGGCTAGTGTAACTCTAACAAATTAGGTGGTCCTAAAAAGAATTAATTTGATTTTATTTTTCCATGTAAGTTTTGGTTGCAAATATAATTGTTAGTTTATATTTATAAATAGAGGAAAAACAATGATATATCGTAATCAAAACAATAAAAAAATAATTAATCGCATTCACTTCAATATTTATGAAACAAATTATGTAATCATCCTAAATATCTCACTCAATTACAAATTTATATTAATTGACATTCAACGATAGATTTTGTATATTCTTCTTTAGAGATTAGAAAGAAAGAAGCTTTAGAAAGCCATTGTGCAAATAAACCTTTGAATATATAAGTATAATAAATTGGTAATGAAGAACTTGGCATGTCGTTTGGAAAATAGGCATAGGTCATAAATAGTGCAGATACTGAAAGGGTGATGCTGACACCCAAGAAGGGATAAGTATTAGGAACAATTCTTGTTCCCAGACAATCTTTCTCAAATAGAGGCTTTAAGTTTAATAGAAATGTTGGTCAAATAAAAAAAAGTTCAAGCCCTTCAACCACAAAATACTAAACGTTGATTCAACACTGTTTCCCTTCTAAGCAGCTTGGCAGAAAGAGCATGTAATTAGTTGAGACGAATGTATATAAATTTGGGTCAGGTGCAGGTAGTATCAGCTATTTTGCTCATTTAACCATCTTCATGCTGACATCCCAGAGTTTCTTCGCCAACTCAACATTCCTGCCATGTGCACTCGCTTCGCCTATGTTACTGTCCTTGAAATATTCACCAGTTTTACCTTTTACTTGTGGATGCAATGCCACATAGCATGTTGTGGCTGCTCCCTATAATCAGATAAGAGGACATATGAGAAAAATTTGAACTGTGTTCTTATTTTAAAAAAAAAAAACAGGTTTTCATATTTAGGTGCATTTCCCCACAATTAGATTAACAAATAATGCAACAAAATCAGGGGTAATCATATATATATATATATATATATATATATAAATAACAGGATATACATAACATTTTAAGATAGTGAGACTGTAATAGCTTAGTATTCTCATATATTGACCCAACAAAAGATAACTGGAAATATAATGGTAAGTAAAGCTTCGCCACAAAAGCATTATAATCTTGTTTTCAGTCTGTACAACCAGCATACGTTGACATTAGCCCAAATTCTATATTCAATTTATTGCTGAGTATAGTTGTTGAATCGAGATACATATTGTATATTAAAATTTTATTATTTAATATCGAGTATTGTATCGTAAGATATGAAATAAATTTTAAAATTAATTATAGCTAAATTTATACATGTAAAATAAAAAAATAAAAAAATATTATATTTATTAATAAAATTGAAGATTATAAGATGTTTTTTTTTTAATAATATAGATTTTAAAATAAAATATAAAATTTTCATATTAATTTATTAATTAAAGATTAAAAAAAATTAGATTTTTTAAAAAAAACTAAATATTAAAACAGATAAAATATAATTTTTTATATTTTAACTCAAAAAATTAATAATAAATTTTTTTAATAATTAATTAAAATTAAGTTTATAAAATTTTATTGACTCTATCGTATGATACATCCTGTATTATAAAATACGTATCATATAATGCTACAGGAAAGTTGATCAAATATTTTGAAAGCATATAAATGCTTGACTGAAACCTGCATTGCTACAATTATTTGCTGATGCGTGTGATTGGCTATGCAATGTGAAAAGAGCTTACCTGCTGGACGTTTTTAAGTGCAACCCTACCAAAGATATTAACAAGACCTGAATCAAGCCCAAAAAAAAATGTGAGATGCAGGCTGCATACTACACAACCATGTCAATAATGTGAAATTACTTTCAACTAGCAGATTCCCTACAATGAGATTATTCTAATGGGGAGGAGATCATAAAATCAAACACTAAAAAATACCATCAACAATGCCCATACGCCGGAAAATATTGGTGGCAATTGTTCCTGGATGAAGTGAATTTGCTGTTATCTCCACTCCATCTTCCTGCTCAATCAAATGAACATCACTATGCAGAATTCGCTTAGCAAGAAATAACTGTCATACCGAGCATGAAGAAAACTGCTAGCAGATAACATGGTTTATAACAATATACAAACATCTCAACATAATATTGATCTGTTTCAAAAGGAGGCTCAGCTAGACAAAAAATAGACAGACAAGTGGAGGCAAGCCTAAGAATAATGACAAAGGAAAAAGCCTCAAGTTCAACAACTTAGGTTTGGCCTACTGGTTGTTACTCCTGCAATAGACAGCCAAGGTCCAAGTTCAACTTCCTGACCTCGTCCAAATGTACCAAATAGAAAGGGGGCTCAGAATTCAGGTGTCCACAAGACAAATATCTGATAAACCACTTTGAATCAAATAGAGCCCGGCACTAGCCCGGCACTAGAAGGTTACCACATTTAGTGCCAAAGGTTTGCCCTTTCAAATTGGATTTTGAAAAAGGAATGAGATCGCTAGTAGACGTAGTGGATAAAAGTTCACGACAGGCAGACTTGCTAAATCACAAGCCAAGATATGAAATTGATAAAATTTTTGTAATGTCAATACTAGAGCATTTGACTTATTGATTGGTACATGATCTCTTGCTTAGAGAGCGGGGTTCGAATCCCCTTTTTCCAATTTAAAAAAAAAAAAAGAAAAGAACTGATGGTCATAATAAATATGTATTGATTAAAAAGTGTCCACTCACCAACACCACCAGCAATATGATAAAACTTCCCATCCAATGCTATGCAACGCTATGCTGTGGACAAGAAGATCACATACCTTTAGGCGTCTAGCTAATTCATTAGCATGTAGAACATTAGCAAGCTTTGATTGGCCATATGCGGCAAAACTGCTGTACCTGTATATTAGCAAATCGAAACAGATGACGAAAACCAACTTATTCTGCTGAATGAAACAGCTGCTTCATCTTGCAAATAGTTGTGCACAGTTACAGTAATAGGCATCCAAATCAAAGATAACAGCAAAGTGACAGTATCTTAGAATTGGCATAAACACATTTCACGTTTAAGAATGTCTTAATGTCGAACGAGTAAATGCTAACCGACTTTGATATTGGGTGTCATTATAAGAAGCATTAAATAATTGTTATCTAAAGCAATAGTTAGCATGTCAAAGTGTTGAAAATTCCTGGCAACTTGTCATTACCCAAAAAAACAATGTTGCCAACAAGAAGTTTAAGAGACAATTAGCAACAACTTGCTCCAGAACAAACATGTATCTTTCTAAAGAAGACATATGAAAGTTCGTTTTTCCTCTGGATTGCTAATTATTGAAGAGTCGTAAGAGCATAACTAAATGCAATCAAAGAGGGCGTATGGTGTTACCCTGATTTATCATTAATCTTGTCAAAATGAATTCCTTCCTTATATGTGTAACGGTGAGCTTCTGATGAGACATTTATAATTCTTCCTTCTCGTTTACTTGCACGTGCAGTTTTCTTCATAGTGTCCAGCAAGAGATTTGTCAAAAGAAAATGACCTGTGTGGAGCATTCAAAAGTTTAGGACACTGCTTTGCTGATGGATCTGAGAAACAGCAAAATATGTCCTAGGTCTCTGTTTCTCTTTTTTTTTAACCACTTTTTCCATAACCAAACTCTACGCAACAGGAAAAGCAGATAGCAATTAGCGTGGTAGCAGACAAGCTATGTAGATTTAGAGTTTAGACAGCGTTGTTGAGATGGCAAAAACCATCTTGATCCCCAGATGTTCTGATTTCACAATCACTATGAAGATGGGCTGCTTCCCCAAAACTTAAGGAGCAATAAATACAATCAGAGAACACCCAATTTCCATTATACAGTTGTCAGTTCATGCTTCAAAATGTAACCAAAGACAATGGAGATTGTAATTGATGTTTTAAATGAATGCCATTCAGATCACTCTTATGCTAACATACCTATGTGGTTAGTTGCAAACTGTAGTTCTATGTTATCCTTTGAAAGCATGAAAGGAGTTGCCATAATTCCTGCATTATTACTGAAAACAAAGAAAGACAAAATTAATCCCTTGTTGTGTGACTGCCTTGTGCTTAGCACGCCTGCAAAGATCCTATGTCAGGAAATTGTATAATCATGTGTAAATGGGCTAGCAGACAGAAGTTGGAGATTGACAATGCAAATAACACACTCATGCTCAGAGAAATGACTATTATACTTGAACCACTCTGGCTGGGAAATGATGATTTAAAAGGCTTCCCACTATTGTAGTTTGCTTACATAAGGAGATTTAGTCGACGACCAGAGGAGCTGAAATCTGATGCAAATTTCTTTACAGATGCCATTGAACTGAGGTCCAATTCCATCGCATCAACCTTAGCTGTTGGAATTTCCTTGACGATTGCTTGTTTGACATCTTTACCAGCAGCCATATTTCTGACTCCCATAATTACATGAACACCACGCAGTGCAAGAACACGTGTAGTTTCAGTGCCAATACCACTGGATGCTCCTATAATCATGTTGACCGTGAAAGAGAAAATATGCTAGTTAAAAGACATAGAAAACAACTTAGTTGCAACGTGTACACAGTTGAGTACCTCCCAATTCAATGCCAAGAGCAACAAATCATGGAACATGCCCAACAAACGAAAGCATTGTTTCAATTTTCACATCTAAATGGCAAGGGTTTCATATATGCTTACGTACCCAACCAAGATTACAAAAAGAAGCAGCACTCAATTAGGTTGATCCCAAAGTTTGAGAAATGTAGACCCAAAAATCCTTCTGGTACACCCCTAATACATTGATGTGCTGTCATGACAGTAATATTTTCTAATACTAGACAAACAAACAAATTAACGAGGATCAAATTATTGTCTTTATACGTTATTTCGTTATTTCTATCCTTACTCTGTAGATGCCAGTGAACTTAGCTGGCAATATCTCTGGGAAGCATGGCAACGACAGGCATTGGATGTCACTTTGAATCGAGATTGCAGAGTTTGAAAATGGGACGGGGATATTTTCAAAGCGGAAGGCACCGCCAACACCAAATTCATCTGACAGATGTCCCTAATGGCGATTTCCCCCAGTGTAGTCATGGGACCACACTACATGACATCATTGACTAATAACGTACTGACGTAGAATAATAAGAAAAGAGGAATGTTTTCCATTTGTTTATGGCTAATAAAATCAATGCCCCCCCAACTCGATCCGTTTCACTGTTCATGTAGGAATCCGAAAGGGAGCCCAAAGACAAAGATACAAACCAATACAAAATAGGCGGTGGCTAACAAAAATTATATTAGTTTTCTACTTCTCGTTGTTCTCTATCAACATCATATATTCAAACGACCAAAATGCTAAAAACTTCCAAGGAAAATGAATCAGAATTCAATCAATATCATCCGATAACCTACAGGAAATCACCGAATGAAGACATACAATATCCCACGTTACAACTCTCAATTCACATACTGTATTGAAGATGGAGATATGACATAATACACGAACAAGTACATGTCAAAAAACTCATATGAGATCTCATTGCGTACAAAATTCAAGAAAAAACAAACAAACCCAGATATAGAAAGACCTGTAACAATGGCAGTGAGACCAGTGCCATCAATCCCTTGTGTAACTTCCTCTGCAGTGGACGATGATGAGAAACCAGATGGCCCTTTTCTGCTAAACAGCCACATGTTTCAAAAGACACTGCAGTGTAGCACACTCCCTTTGTCTGTCAACGATAATGGAACGTTCACAAATTCCAAGAAATCCTCAGAAGAGTACTTACGTTTCTAAAGACAGAGATTTCAAGTATAAAACAGGAAAGAGTTGAAGTTATTGTGGGTTAGAGCTTTTAGACAGTGAGACATGAAGTCCTTATTTTGCCAAGGAAGCAGATGTCCTTTATCTTCGGACCCTACAAGTAGCTTTCCAAATTCATCATAAACGGCTGCGTTTTAGCTGATGATTTTTATTGCTCCATTGTGTTTTTTGATTTATCATATGAATAGATGCATTTTGGTTTGGCTATATTTGTAGGGAAGGAATCCGTTTCATTTAATCACTTTAAATTCCTGAAAGGACAAACAGAGCTAACACCGAAAAATGGCGACGGTCATTGTTAAGTGCCAATATTAATTGCATTATTAACTAATGTTAATTACTCCATTATCTGCTAATGAATTTGATAAAACTGTTAAGGAGCCTAATGCTTCGCCTATTAACGTCAACTTAAACTTTCCTCTTCTTGATTGTAATATTAATTTCAAAATTTTTGAATAAGAAAATAGAGAGGAAGAGGCTAAAGAGGTGCCAAAGTTTAGTTAACGCATGCAATAGACAGGATAGGGTTTTTTACATAAGAAATACAACATACAAAGTGTTTTTCACTTGTTATTGATTTTTTTTTCCCTTTAACAAAGATATCTTTATCAACTAAGTTGAGTTCAAATGATCATAAGTTGGTAGTGGAAAGGTTCAAATCAGGAAAGAAACATGCATTATGATGGGTAAAAAGAAATACAAAGATATTTTTATTTAGTTCCATACCCAACTTATCTATTGGCACCCTCGAGCCTGGCAAAATTGCCAAAGTGAGCAAAAACAAAAAAGTTTTGTGGGTGTTTTTATTAAAAGAAAAACTTTGATGAACTTGCTTGTGTTCTTCATGGTACGAAAATGCCCAAAGACCAAAGGCCTGGACCCAATTGGGCCTGAGAGAGCTGACCGAGGAGTCCAAAAGTCGCAAAGTCTACTCGCCCATGCCAACTTCCATCCAAACCGCAACGACCACCACGTGCGGTGGCGATAGAGTCACGTGCAGCACTCAACAGCTCACCAAATTCGTAATACCAACAACAACGAAAGACAGAAAACAGAAACGGTGGAACTCTTTTTCCTTTTTAATTTTTGTTTTCCAAGAACCCTCGCAACTGTTCTTCCTTTGTATTTGTCTTTTTCTCGCCCTTTTCGCTTCCATATCTTTCTCTCTTCACTTCAAGGTACACTGTTTGCCTCTCTCCCTCTTTTCAACTTGCATTAATTTCTTTGTTTTTGAACTTAAATTCCCCAATTAATTAAGGTAGCTAATTTTGATTAAAAATGTTTCCAAGGCTTAACAAATTCCGTAGCTTTTAGTCAAATTTGAGAACTTGTTGATCAATGTTTTCGCTTTAGGCTCAGCTGTGGTTAAGTCCTTGGTAGATTAGGAATTGGGGTTCTGAATGTCTGTTCTGAAACTATGTTTAGTTTTCGACAACATTTCAAGATATTAGAAAGAAGAAAAATTGTTCGTTTGCTGTCTCAAGTGTAGATGACGGACATGTCAAATTGCCAATCTAACTATGCAACGGATTCCGGAAATATGAAGACGAATCCCCATTGTTTCGACTTCTAGCAATTTCTAGAGGCCTAAACCACTCAATCAATTATTCAAGTTTTCAACTTTGGGTCACCTCTTAATTATTTGCTGACATTGGGTTTTATTTGTGAAAATTCAGGCATAGTGCCTGGTGGTGCATTGTTCGTAGCTTTTTGCTTTCCGTCTAGTAAGACACGAAGATCTGTGGAAGCGTTAGTCATAAGAATGCTGTTGCCCATTCTATTAGGATTTCATGGTGTGTCAGATTGGGAAGCATTGATGAAGAGTTTGTATCCACCTAACAAAGTTAACCGTTTGAATAGGACAAAGCCATCGTTTTCTTCATTGTCTCCTTCTTTCTGAATTTGGAGGTGCAAACATCTGAAATTGAACAAGTTTTTCAACAACCAATTCGTGGAATCATCATCAGATGTCAGAAGGTGTTATGGCTGTGGTAAAACCGGAGGTTTGTTTTATGGTTGCTTTTGGATCTTTTAACCCATTATGTTATTTCCCCACTGCTTATAAACGGATTAAAGAGATGCCAGTTAGCTTACCTGTTAGCTATGAACAGTTTTGTCCACATCAACTGTTCATTACCTGTTAGGGGCGATTCTTATCATATATGTATTTATGTAGTTTTATATATGAATTTATGTATTTTGTTGCAATTACCATCTATATCATCTCCATTCTTACTTGCTTTTCATTGTGGTTCTTGTGCTTAAGATGAAGTCCTACATTTGGCTGCAAACTACTGATGGTTCAATCCAGCAAGTGGAAGAGGAGGTTGCCATGTTTTGCCCCATGATATGCAGAGAAATTCTTCAAACAGGCATGGGTTCTTCCAAAAACTATGCTATATCACTTCCACAACGGGTGAATCCTGCTATTTTGGGCTTAATACTTGATTATTGTCGCTTTCATCAAGTACCAGGTCGCTCTAATAAGGTTTGATATGTGTTTTTATGTTTTCCTGTGGTTTCTCTTGACTTTAGGATAAAAGTTCTGTCCGGCAGTTGTTATGGATTTATACTTTTGTGGTTAACCAGAATATAAGCAGTCTGAGCTGTTGTGGACTTTATTTGACTTTTTTCCATATTTATGTGTAGGAGCGCAAAACTTTTGATGAGAAGTTTGTTAGAATGGATACAAAAAGATTGTGTGAATTGACATCTGCAGCTGACAGCCTGCAATTGAAGCCTTTAGTTGACCTAACAAGCCGTGCACTTGCTCGAATAATTGAAGGAAAAACTCCAGAGGAGATACGGGAGACATTCCATTTGCCTGATGACCTCACAGAGGTTTGTGTGGCTAGCAAGAAGTAAAAAATTTGTTGAATCATTGGTCTGTATTTGTTGTTTATGATGTAGATTTGGTCATCCCAGGAGGAAAAGTTGGAACCCCTCAGAAATATTACTGATGACCCACGTATTCGGCTTCTAAACCGATTGTATGCCAGAAAAAGGAAGGAATTAAAAGAGAGAGAGAAACTGAAGGTGGTTACCTTTGCTAAGTTTTATTGATGCTAAAGTACACTTGGTTGCAGTTTTTTGAGTTTGTTGACGTATGTAATTTCAGATTGCTTAGAAAAAATATTTCTACAACTCTTTACTGTTGAAACATTGAACCTGCACATACATATTTGCCAGAGAAAATGAATATTTTTGTATGTTTCAGAATGTTGAAGTTGAGGAGGAGCGTGTGGATGAACGCTCAGTAGATGATCTCTTGTCTTTTATAAATGGAGGAGATCTAGGTATACTTTATAATTGTTCTCCTGCATCCTTTTGAACCTGGCATAGAATTCTAACATAATTGCCATCTATCTAAATGTTCATTGATTTTCAGTTTCCTTAGACTTAGAAGCCATAACTGATAAATTATGTAATGTCGCTTGCCTTTGAGATCAACTTGATGTTATGGGTACGGGCCTGTGAATGTCAGTTTGTGCTCTTTGAGCTTTCTTTCTGTTCCAGAAATGATATATCTTGAATTTATGGTAATGATAGATGCTTCATTAACTGCATTGATCTTTGTAATACTTCATGTTCCAAGCAGTGTGTGCACATGCTGCAATACACTCTTTTTGTACAAAATTAACTATCTATTCTGCTTTTCAGACTCGAAGGGAGTTAGGACTACCAAGAATAGAAAGAAAAATAGGAGAAGAAAAGAGCAACTAAAGCAC